CGATTTTTAAATATTTTTTAAAAAATGTTTTATAGTGTTCCTAACATTTAAAATTATTATTGAAAAAGATTAACATATAATCTCAAATTAATAATTTTTATTTTTGTTTACTGAAATAAAAAAGTAAATATCCTTTCTTATTTGGATTAACATACTTTTAGTCATTGCATTAAGGGTAATTTAGAAAAGTTAATGCAAAAATATTCTTTCTTTATTTAAAGCTTATTATAAAAATCCAAATAAGTAAGAGATTTAGGGAGGGATGAAGTATATGTATAAGAATAAAAGTGAAGTTGGAATAACCATTGAGTGAGCCTTAGATTGTTAATTTGCTTTGGAGTGTTGGATGCAGCTAGACAACTGGGTTTTATGCAAGCTTTACAAGAGAGTGGATAGTAAAGCAAGTAATATAACACCCGTAAGTAATGAGAATGCCGATGATGATGCAAGCGAAGGAGAAGACGGCCGGGAAACTCATCATGATGATTGCATGGAGGAGACACCCACCGCCACCGCCATCCCCGCCCTTGAAACAGATGGAAATGAGCAAACTCCGGCGGTCGAATTTGAGCTATTTGATGTTGTGAAGCCGTTCTTAATTAATAAATAACTCCCACTTCCATTGTTGATTTATTTGTAAACCTAACCTAGGTTCTTAATTACCAAGTGCACTACGGAGTACGTTTTAATTAGACTATTCTTCCATGGTCCCAAAATTTAATATTTCCCTTTTACAAAACATTTAGGGTCCGTTTGGTATACGGAATTGATGGAAATGGAATTGAATTGGAATTAGAATTCCATAGGATTCAATTCCATAAAATTGAATTCACCAATTCCAATTCATTTTTTGCACTATCTATTTCAAATCCACATAATTTTTGTGCTACCAAACACCAGAATTGGAATTGAAATCCTCAATTCCAATTCCATAGTTTGAATTCCGTGTACCAAACGGAGCCTTATGCTCTAAAGTACCCCAAAATGTCTAAAGTACCCCAAAATAACTTCTACCCGTCACGAACTACACTCTCCGTCCCTAAAAACATGCATGAGAGTTTAGGAGTTTTAAGAAATTTAAGAGAAGTGTATTTTGGTGTTGAGTTTTTAGAAATGTTGTTTGGTGTAATGAGTAAAGTTGGATTTGATGGGTAGATTAATAGTGAATAAATGTGATGTGATATGTAGGTTAAGAATTAGTAAAGATAAAAGTAATTTTCTTATAGAACTGAGATTTTTTTTTGAACAGATCAAAAAAGAAATGAGAAAAATTTCCAGAGACATAATATGATGTATTTTATACTCCCTCCGTCCTATATTGATCTTCCCACTTTGACTAAATGTCATTTTTAAGGGATGGATAATATGGCTTTGACTTTCAAAATTACCCTTCCTTCGCAACGGCAGTGAATGAGAAGAGGGGTGCAGCGCGGAGACGAAGGGATGGACTAGGTCATGATTCTGCTAAGGGGGGAGTCGATGGGCTCGCTGAACCTGAAGATTCGAGAATCCGTGCCGACGGAGACGATTGAGAGAGTCGGCGACGATTTAAGGGATTACTCGATCTACTCTCACTGCAACTAGCTAGAAAGAGTAAAAATTGAAGGGTTAACCTGATTACATTTCGTCTAAAAACATATACTGCAGATCATTACGAGATTCAGGGCCTGAAGGATTGTCTCTTGGTTGAGCAAGAAGAGAAAGCTGAGTTAAGTAAGAAGCTCCAAGATTTGGAAAAGGAATGTGAGTGACCCAACCGTAAGGAAACGATCGTGCTCTATACTCGTTCCTGAACTTCCTCCTCTTTTAACTCAACTATGGTGTCTATAGTTGTGGAGAACAAATGTTTTTTTTGTAATCTCTCTCATAGAAATTATTGGTTTGGGTTTCAGTGACTGTCAGCAGAACAAAACTTGTGGAGTCCCGACAAGATTTAACTTCGAATCGGAATGTGGACGCACTGAAGCAAAAGATTATGAAACTAAGGAAGGAGAATGAGGTTCTTAAGAGGCAAATCACCTATCAAATACAAGGATAGATGCTTTGTAAGTTAAAAGCAAATTCCCAGTTTTTGCAGTTATGGAATTGTGGCCTTTTTTTTAATACGCGAAAATTGAAATGTCGATGCAAAGCTCTACTTGTAATATGCATAGTGCTCTACCATTGTTTCTTACGGTAAAGAGTTTTTATTACCGTGCAAACGCTTGGGTATGAATCTACTCAAGGATAAAACCACGAGTTCACTTTACAAGTTTCCTTACCTTTTTAGGTTTACATCCTTTCCATGCCTTGTTTTTGTATGTTCTTTTATAACACTTCTATACTTTGAACTCTCTCATTCTGATGATGTAAACAAATCAAATACTTTTAATTCGATTCGTGATTTGTATTCGAATATAATGGTTTGAATTCGCATTATTCAAATACAAATTCAAATTCAAATATCATTTTTGATTCGAATATTAAACAAATACAAATACAAATAGGAGTATATTTGATTCGGGTGATATTCGAAATTCGAATATATGTATATACCCACAAAGCATGTTTCATCATCAATATAGTCAAGCAAACTAATATAGTATAAAATGTATTTAAATTATTAAGAATTCAACAAATTAACGTAACACCAAAATCTAAAGCATATGATTTTTAGAGGGTGTTTGGCAGTGCGTTACTTTTAATAATTTAGCTTGAGTGGAAGTAATTTTATTCTGTTTGGCATGTCAGCTTCTGCTTTTCACCACCCCTATTTTATACACAGAACACCGTTTTGGAGAAGCAGGTATGAGGTGCTTTTGCTTTCAGCTTTTGTGGAAATCACTTTATCCAGAAGTTAATCACTCCCAAACAAGCTCTTAATAGTTATATTTTATAAAATATAATTTGTGTGAGGTGAAAATGTATTAATGTTTTTAGATATAGTATAAGAAGTATTGTAAGTTAAATTATTCAAAATCTATGTTGGTCTATCATATAAATTACGCAATATGATTATTAAAATATTCATTTAGGATTCGTTAAGTATTCAAATATTATTCAAATCCAAATTCAAATCTTATTTTTAATTCGTCTCATATTCAGATTCGAACTCGTATTCAAAAAAATTAAGTAAATACAAGTTCAAATATCTTGATATTCGCTCCGATTCGGTTCGTTTACACCCCTAAATTTTGACACACTCTATTCGGTTCAAATTACATACCTCCAGTGAAAGTTTTTTCCTTGGCTAAACTCCACCATTGGTCCTTCAACTTTATCAATTGTGCACGATTGGTCCTTCAAGTTTTAAAACTTCATAAATAGTTCTTCAACTTTATGAGTTATGCACGATTGGTCCTTCAAGTTTTAAAAGTGCATAAATAGTCCTTCAA